GTTTATTAATAAACTGAAGAAAAGGGAAGAACACTGATGTCCAACGAAAATGCATCCTCATTCATCCGTGTCGTCTTTCTTTAACGTATTGTTATGTGAAAAATATGTACGGATATTTGTGAATTCAGCATACAGGAATTACTGTAGAACATGTAAAAAATAAGTCAATAAAACCATCTCAGGCCTGTGTAATTGTTGGAATTCTAGAAATTATTCTTTCTCATTGTATTTAATAACAGAAAAAATATAAATCTTCAATGTTGAAATTTGAAAATAAACAATACATGGAAAAACAATTATGTTCACAATTCTTTATTACTGAGAAAGGACCATGGAGAAGTCAGACTGTACCGAGTTTCGTGTACCATGTTTTAAAGATAACAGGTTTAAAATAACTGCTTGGTGTGTTCTTTATATGTACTATATAAAAATGGCTTTTTTTTTTTCATAAGTAATAGTAGAACCCATTGTACAAATGGCCATTCTTGATTACACTGCCATCTACCAGGATAAAATTACATAAAACAAAGTATGCAAAAATAAATTACTCAAAATTATACAACAAAACGAAATTACTTTATTTGGTTATTATTAAAAAAGTGTATATATATAATTTAGAAAATGGTTTTCCTTACGTAAAAACCATTTTCCAAATAATTAACACAATAGAAACTAGTACTTTAAGTTGGTAACTATTCCAAACTCTCGAAAAAATCTTGTTAATTGTGAACGTAATATATATTTTAACTACCACTGACGAAAGAACCATATGGCTACGTCTTCTCTGTAACGGACAAATTAATAGCCTTGCAAAGATTCAACAAACTAGTGTTTGTGAACGGAGATTTCTTTCCTCATTCTAGCACTAATACTGATCTGTAAACATACCAATAAGTTACTGGAACGCAATGCCATGTTAGCTTAAATGACCCTAGTCTTTTCTCTTGACTGTAGTGGTAAGCTTTTTTTTTTTTCTATTGTGATTAAAATCAAAATTATAACGTTAATGACAGTAACTTCTGTTGAATATTTAACTTCATGTACACTAGTGAATTGTTGTTTACACTTGTAAGATCCTAATGGTATAATTAATTCTGTAAAACTTAAAAATGAAGCTAAATGTACAATTATAAATTTCACAAATCTTCTTAATATTTTACTTCGGTAAAAGTAAAAATCACTCAAGACCAATTATAATATTTCACTATTAATTTTGAAACTGCTTTGTTCACAAACTTTTATTAATACCTGTATAGTATCAAATTTTGTAGAACCAAATAGACCAACAAAGAAAGCTCCACACGATCGAACTAGTTATGTTTCCCAAAAGC